AACATAAATCTTTCATAACTGAGTTTTTTTATCTTGACACCATCACTAGGAAGGTTAACATCCAAAGTTTAAGATTCCCTCCTTCCCTTAATTATATTTGTGGTTATTTTTTTGGGGGATTTATGTCAGAGTTTTTGCTCTCTTAGGTGAGTTGACTACACCACCACTAAGGTGCCTAACTAGCCCCAAAATATATGGTCAGCTAAAATAAATTATAGTTTTTAGTTTTTTTTTATTATAGTATATGTAAATTAGTTATTAATTTATTCTCCAAAAACTCTCCAAGTTTTCATTACGATTGTCAGTGTTTAAGTTATTTAAATCACAATTTTTTGATTAAATGTATTTGACATATCAAATATTTTAGCATTTATTTACTTTTTTATTTCAGATAAACATTGATGTGTATAATTGTTGCAGGAATAAAAAATAGCAGTTGTATCTCTGGTATAGAAGTGGAAAAATATTCCTTTATCATTTTCAACATACTTAAAAAATAAACTTATTTAAGTTATTTTTGAAATAACATTGTAGGCACATATCAATGATTTTGAATAAACAAGGAAGAAGTTTTCATATTAGATTTTACTCAACTATTTAAATTAAGTTCAACTGGTTATTTCTTTAGAATATAGTCATGGTTAAGATCAATATTGATTGTAATTGGTGTTGTCATGGTTAAGATCAATATTGATTGTAATTGGTGTTGTCATGGTTAAGATCAATATTGATTGTAATTGGTGTTATCAAGGCTGGTTAAGATCAATATTGATTGTAATTGTTGTTATCAAGGCTCTCATCATTTAAAAACAAATGTATTAAAAATTCAGAGTTTCGCACAACTATAAATTATTTACTTCAATTGAACATTGAATAGAGTTAGGGTCAGCTGTCAATAATTGAATTGTTTTCAGTTTAGATTTTTGTTTTTACCTTTTTAATGTTTCTGCAAACTTATTGAGAAGTAAAGTACTGGATTGAGGAGGAAAATCCTTTAATAAAATAACTAAATTTTATAAATTTATGCTTTGATGGAATATCTAAATTTTATTATATTATGTTAATTAATTTAAATAGTTTATATTAATTAACTTATGGTATTTGGTAGTTTTTTTTGTGTGTGATTTTGAATGAAAGATTAATAACCCAGTTAACCAACCCAGCTGGATCCCAGTTGGGATTGACTGGGATTGGGTTCGGGCTGGGATTTGTTCTGGGTGCCAGATGGGTCCCATATGTCGTAAAAATATTGCCGCAAATAAAGTCTGGGATTGGCATGGGATTTCCGTAAATGGTTTACGGCTGGTTTAAAGATGGGACGCGTAGTTTAATGGTAGCGTGTATTTCTAATCAAAGTAGTTTGTCATACTTTGTATAAAGAGCTATTATCATATTCATTTGAAAAAAATAGCTTTTCATATAAGAAAAGTAGGAATACTATAGTGTATAGGATACCATAGTGTACTAATAAGTATGGCAAAAAAGTCGTTCCGACCCCGAGAAAAAACACTTTTTTAGATTTGCATATTCGACGCATTTTTTATGTTTTTTTATGACAAGATTAAGATAAAAAAAGACGTCTTTTCGATGTCGAAAAAAGATGTCTTTTAGATTTGCATAATCGATTAAAAAAAGACGTCTTGAAAACATCGTAAATAAGACTTTTAAAGACGTCTTTTCAACGTCTTTTTTTTCACTAGGTAACATGTTCAGTGACATTACTAGAGTAATACACATAAAAATATTGAGATATTAAAAATTAGCAGGTGTTGTATAAGAATTTTGGATTTCGTAATTTTTTGTTTTTCTTTTTCACTTTCTTGACAAATATGTTTAAAACATATCGATAAAATTAGTTGAGTTAATTATGAGATGTTTAAGGTTTTTCTTCAAAGTATAAAGATTACCAGAATTACTGAGTTCTATATTTTGGGGTATGACTTTTTTATATAGGTAAGGGCCACGGTATACAATTGCATATTGCGAATTTTTTGTTTTTTTTATAGGCAACGTGAAATTTCCCGTTCCTCTTGTAGTATACTTATCGGAGTTAATTTGAAAAAAGTTATTAGAAAAATAATTTGGAACTAGTCCAAGTTTGTATTTCAACATTAATAAAATATTTTGGTATATATTAATTTGATAGATATTTAGAGCGTTTAAAGATTTAAGTAAAAGATCGGCATGATGCAGTCTTGATGCATGTTTTTGATGCACGAATAGAGACTTTAATTTAGATTTATGTGTGCTCAATAGCTACAATAGTTAAATAGACAATGTTAAGTTTATATCAAATAAAATTTTAATTTTTTTTATAAGTAATAGAATAAAGTTTAATTTTTTTTATAAGTATTAATATTTCTTCACAATTAAATTGAGAAACTTTATTCTATGACTTAGGTAAAGTCATATTATAAGGCATCATATGTAAGGCAATTGTTTAAAAGAGAATATCTAAATTTGTCTAAATCCGTCCTTTTTTTTCTTCTTAGAGCAAAGGATTGGTTTTTATCATGGCTCAGACAAAGCATTAATTAGTACAAAGGATTAGTTTTTAATAAAAACCAATCCTTAGTACTAGAGGATTATTAGTTAGAGAATTATTGGTATTGAGATTTGTGCGATTAGTTTGTTTTCCTGTAAATCGTGGAATCTTGATTTTTAAACCTAAGGCTTCTAGTAACTTTGATGCAGTCATAAAGTTCATTCATGAAGTTCTCTTCATTCTGTTGTCTTTTATTTATTATCTTTATGGTATGTTTAAGAATAGTTTTGGCATATTCTTTATCCAAAATTTTATTTGAAGAGCTTCACTTAAAGAGATTGTGGTATTTAACACATTGGCTATCTAAAAAAGTCTTATTGCAAATAAAAGCTCAGAGTGTTTCTACTATATTTATTAAACAAGATTTAAAACTTAACACAGAATTATACCGTTTAATCCATCTCGTTTCGCATAAGCTTGTAAGCATTCCCTTATTTATATATTAAAAAAAGTTTCTTCGCTTTGGCAAAGCTTTAAAAAATGAAATTACTTCTTTCATTGTGCCAATTGTATTTCTTACAGCACGCACAGAGAAACATTTAAAAATCGATAAGTTTAAAGCATGGTTTTTGTTTTCAGCTAACATAAGGCTGCATCCATCATAACCTATACCAACACAATCCTTTAAATCGAAGCCAAATTTTTTTTGCTGCAATTTCTAGGTGTGGCCCCTAACTACCAATGTGTAAAGCTGCGAGAAAAAAAGAACAAAAAGTTTGCAAAATTGTAATTAAATAAAAAATAGGTAATTTAAAATTAATTATAAAACAGGTTTTTATACTCTAAAATACAGTGGCGGGTTGAGGTTTAGCGTCGTGGGGGGGGGGGGGACCATAAAAATGAGTAGGGGGCGACAAGGTGTGGAGGTGGCACATTACCACTAGAAACGATTTTTTGAGAATCGCACTTATGATAAATATATTTAATCAATGCTTTTATATGTCTTTTATTAAAACTACTAAATACATCTTAGACACTAAACAATTATTAAAACTATTAAATACATCTAAGACACTAAACAATTATTATAACTATTAAATACATCTAAGACACTAAACAATTATTAAAACTATTAAATACATCTAAGACACTAAACAATTATTAAAACTATTAAATACATCTAAGACACTAAACAATTATTAAAACTATTAAGTTCAATCTAAAACATTAAACTAAAGTTTGAGTTTGCTAAGTTTACTTGGTTAACAATTATCGTATAAAAAAAAATAATTTAAAAAGACATATTTACACAATACCTATTAATGAAAGCAAGCTTTAAGAAAAAATACTTACTTTCATGCTTTATACAAATTGTTTTTTGGCGAGATCATCATAAGGACTAGTGACATGAGACGTTCTATAGACGTCACACAGACGTATGTGCCCTCTGGGTTGAAACAAAATGATTGTCAATGCTCTCAGCAAGCTCATATCTAATTAAAATTAATATTAATGCAAAAAGACTTTGTCATTGTTCATTGCAGATTATTTTTGATCTTTAGTTTACTTCTCACATCATAAACTTATGTAAAAGGAAGAGTGAATTTGTTTTTGTAGAGTATAGAGAAGTTAGGAAAACATGATGCTATCTATTTCTCTATTAAGAATGGATGTACACCGTTCATTTATAGTTCAGTCGTCACTGCTGGAGATATTGATTTAAACAAATATTTGAAAGAGGGCTGGAGCGAGTAGATTTCAAATGGGGAGAGGATGCCATACGGGTTTTTAACTCATAAAAACAAATCTAAATTGCTCCACAATGTTGAAATTATTTAATTTTAAAACTTTTTTTCCCTCCTTTTTACAGTTGTTTTAATTCACCAAGTCACAGTTGTTATAATACACAAAACTATGTTTAAAATCCTTTGAACGTGTACATTATGACTGTCAGAGATGTTTTCTTAGAACAAAATGTTTCTGTTTCGAATTTCTGCTACAAATGCAAGAAAATATGTAAATAGTTTGTTGTTACCTAGTTTTCTATTTCTATTTAAATAAATAAAGAATTTTTTAATAAGAAATTTATTTTTTTGGGGGCGCCAAAAAAATAAATTTCTTATTAAAATATATATATATATATATATATATATATATATATATATATATATATATATATATATATATATATATATATATCATATATATATATATATATATATATATATATATATATATATATATATATATATATATATATATATATATATATATATATATATATATATATATATATATATATATAAGAATTTGAGTTATTAAAGTTATCATGCACAGTAAACGTGTTTAAAAAAATAATATTATATAACCTCAGAAAAAAAAGAAACAATTTAAACAAAACAATTTAAACACAACTTATTTGCAAAACGGTGTGACTTCATAATGTATTGGCGGCTTCTTGTAATGGCTTATTGTATATTGGAAACACTATGTCTGGAATAGCTTATTTAATAAATGTTTTACAAAACACTAGCGAACTAAGCAAACATGTTGAACAAAATGTTTTAATGTGCATAGCATGTCTTTGAAAACAATTAAAAATGTTTGAAACGTAACCTCTTATACTGCAGTGGTTATTTTAAAAGAATTTATTTAATTGAAATCATTAAAAAATAATAATAAAAAAGGTACAACTGATCTTCAAAGAAGTAACTGGTATTACTGATTTTCCCCCCGAAAAACAGGTAAGTAATCTTTCATTAGGATTCAATTACAACTACTATTTTGTTTATAAATCAATTGTTACGTTAACTTTTTTATAATGTAAATTAAATTAAAATATATTACTAAGTGTAAGCAATTTCAAATTGATGGTAATATATTTAAATAATCAATAAAAACAAGTTACCTTGACATGTTTTATTTAATGAAAAAAAAAAAAAAAAAAACTGTGGTGAAGCTTTTAACTACCAAATCATAAAAATTTAATGTATCAATTTATTAGTTAAAATAAATTGTTAAAATGATAATAAACTGTGAAATTTTTTTATTTAAATTGAGTTTGAAAAAGCTACTGTTAAATAACGTTTTTTTTTCTTTTTGATCCCATCTGAAGGAATTTTTGTTATTCTGACCGTTATTTTGCTGCATAAACATTGATATATTTTTTTAAAACTTCTAAGTGTACTAATATATTTTTTAGCTTGCTGTTTTCAACAAGATGAAAAATATATCTCAGTTATCCCTTGTCTTGTTACTTTTTCTTGTTATCTCAGTTATCCACATATGAAACTGTGACTACGCAAAACTAAAAAGAGTTTTAGGCGCTAACAGGATTTTTTGATGTTTTAAATACAACAAATTCGGGCATTGTGGAATTTTTGTGTTTTGGAAATAGTTAATGTGATTAAAGCCGAAAATCAAAAATACCTACAAATTTTAACCTCTTTTTTACCCTATTGGGAGAGCAGTGAAATTATAAAATATTTCATTATCTTATACTCAATTTAAATATATCAACAGGTTTTGAAATTCATCTAACCATTTGGTTAATGTTTGAAAGCTATAAATATGTAATATATTTACAACCCCCTCATTTGAAGGGGCCGCTTCAAAGCTAACTTTGAGTAACCATCATAGATGGTTGAGTTACCATCATAGATGGTTTACTCAGAACAGATAAAAAAATATTAGGATTATCGATTTTAATTGATGTTTTAGATTTAAAGATGGTAAGCTACCACATAGAAAAATTGAAATCGATATTTTTAAATTTTTTTTTTTTACTTTTTTTTTTTATTTGAGTTTTCAAGCTATATTTTTATATACAAAGTTCTTATATCCGAAGATATTGTTGGCTTAGCATAGGAACAGCCACAAATAGTCATTAAGACTAATCCAAAGTAGCGTCCGTTATTGACCAACATTTTTGCGTGCCGAAGTACTACTCAAGCGCTGAGTTGGCGGTGGCGGGATTTGAACTCGTATCGTTCAACAGTCCGGGTTTTAACTTTTCCTTTAACGCTCTAACCATCTGAGCTATCCCGCCACAAAAGTTAGAAAATAAAATTATTTTTTATTAATTATTGTTTTTCAAATTCAATTTACATGTTTACTTGTTTAAGTAAATTTTTCCACATCTGTTATTTAGTTTTTTTATTTGTAAGACCATTATTATCAAGGAATACAAAACATTGAACAGTTTTTTTTTTTTAAATTATCCTCATGGCTCAAGTTTCCTAAAATAAATGTAAAAAAAGGTTGTTTATAAAATAATGTAATAATCAGGTAAAACTCAGTTTAGGTTATTTGCTGTTTCAAATTATTTTTATTTATGTTTTTGTTAAAATTTTTAATGAATACTTGTTTAAACCTTTGCTTTAGAGAAAAGATTTTGTTTCAATAAACGTTTTGTTTATTGCTTGTGATTTTTTAGATGCATTGCTTCAAGGACAGACTTTATTATGAACACAACGACACAAACAGCTCTGATGAAAGTGACGAAGATTTAATCTTGGAAAAAAGTAAGTGTATAATGAAAAGTCCACCTTTTGGAGATTTAACCAAAAAAAAGTTACCAGCAAATAAATCAGAGTTGTTATTAAAAAATTTTGAAAACCAGTCATGCTCTAATTCTCTACGCAAAAACTTTGAACGGAAGTTATCTCAAAGCAGCCATAATTTATTTGAAACCCCACGCAACTGCACTCAAGACGATTATACTTGTAAAACACTTACTCCGGTTATGAATAGAAAAAACAAACGAATTTCTTTTTTTAACTGTAGTAAAGAAAACACTGCCAGTCACGAAACATCTCCAAATTTGTCTCGTTCAAGTCCTCGCACCAATAGAAAATCAATTGATATTACATCATCAAAAGAATATAAAGAGATTTATGCTAGCAACGTGCGATTATACAGTGTCGTTATTGCAAAAGTAAGTTATTTCTTATTTTGTTTAACTTTCTTTCACGTTTAAAGTTTTTTTATGTTCATTTATTACGACTGAATTTATAACGAAAACAAGAAGAAATTAACTGTGTTACGAATTAAATATTACCTTTAATGAAAACTTTGAAGTTATAACGTCGATCATTAAACGTCAAATGCTTAACACGATAATTTAATCATTAAAGTTTTTAAAAATAATCAAAATCATAATAATCCTTTACGTAACATAATTTATTCTTAAATTATCAAAAACATAATTATCCTTTACGTAACATAATTTATCCTTAAATTATCAAAAACATAATTATCCTTTACGTAACATAATTTATCCTTAAACTATATATAATTTTAAATTAATTGAAAAAATGTTTGATTAACCAAATGTGAATATTAAACTGATTTTTTAAATTTAAATGAAAGCATAATTCTTTGTCAAATTTTTGTTTTAAGTTTTGGTTAAAGTTAAAAATATCCTAATTTTTCTTTTAACATTACAGCAAATGGCGTCTCTAGGTCAAGTTGGGCGTGAGATGAATGATTTACGGAGAAGTAAAACAAAAAAAAAAGCTTTAAATGGAAATGAAAATTTCAACGATATTAAAATTCAGAGCAAACCAAAAAGCAATAATGGTAATCACGACAGTATTTTGAATTCACGTTCAAATACAAATGATCATGCCCTTTTCTCAAATATGTCGCCTTTAAATGAAAGCTCTTTAAAAAATAATATCAAATTTGTGAAGAGCAAAACAGAGTTAAATGACATTTTGGTCTCAGAAGAAAATTTAAAAAAGTCTTCAAATGAGATTCATGTTAGTCAGACGAGTCATAATCACTTTGGAAATAATAAAAGTAAAAATGCGCTGCAACCATCAACCACCATCATACAGCCATTGACCACAATTATAGAGCCATCTACCACTAATTTAGAAAGTAAAGAATCACTACAGTCGTCAAGCACCAAAGTGCTTCAGTCATCAACTACCGCAATACAGTCATCAAACACCAATTTAGAAAATAAAAATAATCGTAATTGTGGTGACCGGTGTCATTGTGTAAGTTTTGTATTCTTGTTTTTAATTTATTTCCAGCGACTTTTTTTAAATTTATTTCTAACAAAAATGCTTAGTAACAACCAGATGTTCGGTAAATTGGATATGCTAAATTCATTCTGATGTACAAAAAAATAAATTTTTTAAAAATGTTCATTTTTGGGCAACAAAAATTATTTTAAACCGAAATAAGGTGTTGAATCAAAGATTGTAAAACATATTTTAAATTTGCAATTAGTCGCCAAAGAAACCAAAAAAAAAAAAAAAAAAAATTAAAATCAAAAATAGTATCCAAACGAGTGAAGGGTGTCTCGATATTATTTTTAGGTATCAGTATTCAATCTAGAAACAGTTTAGGTTTCTCGATTGGATACTGAACCTTTTAGAAAGAAATATCTGCGACAATTAAGAACTATCACATTGTTATAAAATAGTTCAGGGCTAAAGGTCCAATCTGATGATATTTAGATAATTTATATTGTTAACAACACTATAATTTGTTTAGTAATAAGAAATAAAAATAAAGTTTAGTTAACAATAAAAGTATTCTTGATAAAAAATTAAGAACTAGGTACGTCATAAAAACTAGATACTATTCACATTCATAGTAAATAAAAAATTTTATACACCGCAACTAAAATAATTGTGGTTGTAGAAAAGTATATACAGCATAGAAAACTGTGTTAGTTAAAAAAAAAGGCTTTGCATACAAAAACCGTGCTATAAAAAGAAGAAAAATAAAAATATATTTATTTTCTTTTACAATCATAAAATAAATCCAGCCTCTAACTCAACTTAGTTAAAATATGAGAGAGTAAATACCAGAAAGGTATTTATTCTCACCAAGGACAAATTTTTCTGACGTATCAGTAATTGGCAGGGATCTATTTTTTTTTTTGTTCTGACATTTATTCTTTTCTTCGTATCTTTTTTAATCTTTTCCGAGTTTTTTTTTTGTACTTTTTTTCCAATATATTTTTTTGTTATCTTTTATTTTTTTATTTACTTATTATTTTTACTTTTATGCAACAACGGCGTATTAGTCAGTTTATCTACGCACTTATTATTATTATTATTATTATTATTATTATTATTATTATTATTGTGTGAAACTTTAAAAAATTTATATAATAAGCTATAACTAAACAACCCGACAAGAAAGGTGTATGTGGCCCACATGTGGTCATAGTGCTTTTGTGTGGATAAAAAGTACAAAAATATATTACATTTGATGAATGACGTATTTTATGAAGATAAATGCGGTCCGCTTGTGGAACACACAATGCGGTTCACATAACTATTACACTTAATGTGGCATAATTCTTAAATAAATACGTGCTAAATTTGATGTGGCTACCATATGGGCCATACATAAAAAACTCACGATCTTACCTCATTTTGAATTTTAAATTTTAACCAAGTGTTATAATTCTATCGCAATGCATTGTAAACTCTAGAAATTTCTATGATATCATGTGGCTTAACGATTTCATAATTTTCAATTCATAACTGTTGTAAGTATACCCAACAAGAAAGGTATATGTGGCCCACATGTGGTCATAGTGCTTTCGTGTGGATTAAAAGTTCAAAAAAATATAACAGTTAATGAATGACCTACTTGATGAAAATAAGTGTGGCCCACTTGTGGAACACATAATGCGGTTCACATAACTATTACACTTAATGTGGCTTAATTCTTAAATAAATACGTGCTAAATTTGATGTGGCTATCATATGGTCCATACATATAACACTCACGATCTTGCCTCATTTTGAATTTTAAATTTTAACCAGTTGTAATAATTCTATCGCAATGCATTGTAAACTCTAGATTATTCCATGTTATCATGTGCTTTACCGTTTTGATAATTTTCTATTCATAACTGTTGTAAGTATATTTGAGCGATAAAAATAAATATATATACAAAAAAAAGTGTAAATATACAAAATAAAAACCAAAAACCTAGGTGTGTTAAGGCTTTTACTTATTGTAATATACAATTTATTATCATTATTAAACTATGTTTTTTTTTTAATGTGATTTTATGTGTGACTTATATAACGGCATATTGTTAAAAGAATAATTTAAAATCTACAATTCAAAGTAATTTATAATAAATAATTTAATAATAATCTAAAAATATATTACTTATATACAGAGCCGTACCGACGGGTGTGTGTTGGGGTGGACACCCCTTCCCCTCCCCCCCAGATTTACAAAATTCTGCCGGTTTTTGTCGGAAAATTGGAAGATTTGGGACTCTGTCGGTTAGAACTAATATTTGGCTTCTAAAAAAAAAAAAAAAAAAAAAAAAAAAAACCTTGTTTGTAAAGTTAGCTTTTTTCCTTTGCACCCCCCCCCCCCACCTCCAAGTTAGGAATGTTAGCAAACTTCCGCAACCGCATATAAATTGTATAGTAACGCGTCACTAAAAATAAGTAAAGGTAAACAAACAAACACACTTTTTAATTGAGGCGTATTATATTTTCTGCATTAATTCAAATTTTTTGAACTAAAAAGATAGGTTCTAAGAAAAAATCCCCCCGTAAAAAATCCCCCCAAGGGATTTTTTACGGGGGGATTTTTTTTAATTTGAAACCAAAAATGCTTTTGGTTTCAAATTAAAAAAAATATATCAGAGCTTTTTGTTTGTTAAGTATTTATCTAAAGCCAAATAAGTTACAACATTAACAGGATAGAATCGGGAATTGCAACTTTCATATTTTGCATATTAAAGTTTTATGGTTTAATTAAGGTACATAGAGTTAGTTTTTTGATGATGAACTACCGGAGTACATTCTTAAGAATGTACTCCGGTAGTTCATCATCAAAAAACTAACTTGATGTTTTAAAATTACAATTAAGTTAATATTCTTTAAGTTACTTTAAAATCCCGTTCTTAAATAAATTGAGTACGCTTTCATAATTTTATAAACCCACAAGCAAAAATGTTTTAAAAACATAAAGATTAAATTTTGGTTTTCTTCATTGGTTGTATTAAAATAATGCAATCAAGTAAATGTGATTATTGCGATTTAGCTGATTGTCTAAAATGTCTAAAACTATACAAATCAAATATGGAATAATTAGAAAAGACTTTGATAGTGGTAGACCTGCGCAGTACACTTTTTTACGAAAAGAAATGGTTGGTAAATATGAAAATAAGTTTGTTAACTTCTTTGGACCTACATGTGTTCCAAGTCTTGTAAGCACAAATGAAATGTTAGAAAATGAAATTGATGAAATAAAAGAAAATATTAAAGAAAAAAGCAGATTAGTAAAAGTTAGCTACCATCGAATCCTTGAAAAGGTAAAAGAAATAAGAGAAAAATTTACCACAGCAGTAATAAAAGGAAGTCGAAGTGGTAGTGGCAGAATTATTCTAGAGCACTTTGATTTGTTAAGAGAAATATACAGAAATATACAGAGACTCAGCATTGATAAAATCTTTAAGTTCAGGAATTGATACGACTTTAGTGAACAATAATTTATCTTCACCGAATGAAAGGTTAATAGATAATATTTCTGTGGAGAAAGAAACTGATATTGATAAAAACATTGTTGATTTTACCAGTACTTCGTTATCTTTTAAAAAAAGAAAAAATGAAGCAGATTTGCCTTTATTGATTGATGAAAAAAGAAAACATATTTAAAAAAAATTAAGTGCTAACCAACGTGATGCTTTGCTATTAAAAGAAGCAAAAGAAGATATAGAACTACGTAAAGAAGTTGTTAATGCCATAAAAGAATGAAACCAAACATTTTCTGATGCAATGAGAAGTATTGGTGAGTCGATGAAACTTTTAACGGAAAACCTCAGGTCAACTTTTAGGACAAGGATAAAGTAGCTCACCAGCTTACTTTCATACACAAAGAGCTTACTTACCCTCATCAGAACAGTTTTTTGACCATCCTAGTACCCAATACAATTCTTACTTAATTAAAAATAATCAAGAAGAACAATCAAAAGGTTTTGACAGATAATAGCGAAGTATTTGTTTAATGTAATAAGTACTGAATAATGGAAAAAAATTATTACTTTATCTTACTTTATCTTAAACGTTATACTAAATATTGAGTTTACCAAACTAGAAACAAAGAATATACTATTTTTTTAAAAAACAGTTGTGTTTTGCTTTAATATTTTTTTATAGTTACTATTGTATTTTTTTTATATTGAGCTATTAATGCATCCAGAAATATACTGTGTTATTACTTCTCTTATTAATGATCCTTCATCTATGTTGCAAGTATAAATAGAATCAACTTTGTCAGAGTTAATATTTTTTAAAATACTTTTTATGAAAACTTCTTTGTCTACTGTTATACATTTTATCTCACAAAAGTTATGTAGAACAAAAGAGGCATATATAAACAGGTATATTTTCTAGTTTGAGGTCAACTTTTTTCTTAAGTATTGTCCATCGTGCTTTAAAGCGACCAAAAGCACATTCTATTTGATTTCTTGCAGTTCTAAGCAAGGTATTGAAAACTACTTGATTGTTGTTTTGGCAGTGCAAATACTCTTTTAAGCAGAGAGTTGAAAGAGAATATGCTGGATCACCTGTTACATAGCATGGAACTTTGCAAAAGCCAGGGAGCAATTCTCGATAAGTTATAGGTATACTGTTCAAAATCATTCTTAAGTTAAATGTTGAATTAGAAAACACTTTAGCATCATGAAGTGATCCAGGCCATTTGCAGTCGACATCCATAAAAATGCCTTTTGAGTCACAAATTGCTTGAACAGATATAGAGTGAAATCCTTTGTAATTAAAGTAGTCTTGTGAAGATTCTAAAGGTCTTCGTATTGGAATAGTTCCATCATGGTAGTTCATCTAGTTTATCATCATGGTTCAGTTCATCTAGTTCATCATCATGGTTCCATCATAAATAGTTCCATCATGGAATAGTTCCATCATGGAAGAGTTCCCATCAATAAAACCAAAAGCTTAAGGCATATTAAATTTTGTTTCTGTTTCTAAAATTTTGTTTTTCATTTCTGTTTTGTCTTTAGGAAGATTAAGTATTTTTGGTCCAAGGTGATATGTAATGGCCTCACAAACTTTTAATACTACTTTAGACACTGTGCATTGATGTAAACCAAACACATTAGCAGTCATCCATAGAGACCCCGTATCTTTAAATAATACAAACAGCATGCTATTTTTTTTTCAATGCCAAGTGCCCTATAGTTTGGGGAATTGCTACCAGAACTGATCAAGGGTCGCAAGTAACTAGCTTATTCCATCACATGTTCTTTAGACATCCAAAAATTTAATTTCCAATTATTTTCAGTAGTAACATTGTTCAACAGATTAAACCAAAAAGTTTCAGAACTTCCTGGTTTAGTCCATATGCTACGGGGCATTTGCCTTGAAGGTTTCTCCACAGCATTAATAATTCTTTGCAAGAAATAACTTCTTTTTCGTAAAGAAAATGTTACAAAATTAGTAAAAAATCTTTTTTTATCAAATGAGCAAGAGCAAGCTGCTGTAAATTAAGTGAAAATTTTGAACCTCGCATGAAACAAACATTTTGAACCTCGCATGAAACAAACATTTTAAACCTCGCATGAAACAAACATTTTGAACCTCGCATGAAATAAACATTTTGAACCTCGCATGAAACAAACATTTTGAACCTCGCATGAAACAAACATTTTGAACCTCGCATGAAACAAACATTTTAAACCTTGCATGAAACAAACATTTTGAACCTCGCATGAAATAAATATTTTGAACCTCGCATAAAACAAACATTTTGAACCTCGCATGAAACAAACATTTAAGATCTTTAGCAATTTTTCGTATATGCGACACAATGATCGCAAAAAGTGACCAACGGAGCCGTCCAGTTACGTAGACCTGGGAGATGTGAAAATAAAAACAGATTGAAGATGATGTCATTTAGGTAAAAAAAACATAAATTAATGCAAAGACTATTTAGTTGGAAGAGTAAAAGTTAGCAACTCAGGAAAAGGGGAATAAAAAATCACATTCTAGTCATCTTTTAACAAATGATGAAATAATGACCTATGAGTAAACAAGTCAAAAAAATCCGCTGGTTTATAATGGTATTCATAACTAAAATAATCGCACCATACAAGTGTCTAATAAATGTTGTACTATATATGTTCTAAACTCTAGATAAAAAATTGATAACTGATAATCACCTGTGTAAAATAAAAAATATATAAATGTCGTTAATGTAACAAATTCATAATAAAAAGCTCACAAAGCGCAAAAATACATGGGTTTAAGAGGTAAAAAAATGTTGGTGCCATAATAACCAATTAGAATTAAGTAGTGGATAAATGGTGATCCCCCTCCTCAGGAATGCACTGCGATCACCAATGACGTTTCGGAGAGCCCGAGACCTGCACTAACGCCACTCGTCAAGGGCGTGTCCTTGCAACAGATCTCACCGCCTGCACTCTACGTCATGCTAGTCAATATTGCAATATAACAGGACTACACTACAAAAGCCAAAAAACCCAATCCTTATCCCAGTTTTTGAAAACAGCTCCGACATTCTTAGAGATCTCGTGAGGGTGGTGAGGAATGCGCGTGGTGTGACCATAAACAGATATGTAAACACATATAAATATAAGGTACCCTTACATTAGAAGAAACAAACTTGTACACATGTACGTGTGCGCGTGTGTAAATAAACAATTATAATGTGTAGAAATAACAAAAGGCGAATAGAAAATAGTAATTAATAATTAATAGTAACTTACCGTTTCTTTTAGGGCTGAAATATGTATTATAAATATAATAAGTAAATACCACTCATAAGCATTGATACTAAGTAAAGATGTTTTGTGGTTAGTACGAAAGTAGTTAAACGAAAGTATGATAAAAAATATATAACTCTAAATAGTATGTTCTCATATAAATCTTGCCTGGTAAGTAGAGACAATAGCTATCACACAAAACAGACTCAGAGTAATTAAATAACGATTAGCCAGAGATAAAAAAATATCCGAACATCAAATCAGTAGGCAGAAAATAATAAGGAAATAAAAAGATAAGACAATATATGCGATTTTAAACTAATAGCTTATAACCACTAAAAAATGTAACGTTAAAAAACAATATTGTTGACAAAACGACCAAAGGAACGTTAGTAAAGACTGTATAGTGCAAACCACAACAAACTAACTTAGCGACGTCAAATCGAGAAAATTAGATAGAAACAAAAAAACCTAACGAAATCGTGATTAGCCTAAACTTATCTAATGAAATTGTTCAGTATATTCCAACCAAGAATACATTTGTTATAAAAAATACGCTAATACGTACTTTTGTGTAAAATTTTCGCGCTGTTATACTTCTCACAAATATACGGCCTCATTCACACATAACACAAATCTGAATAAATATACAAGGATAAGGTAAAAAAAAAAGACTATGAACAAAAGTATATAACAAAGAACAAATACTTGATATACTGGTTTTAGAGGCCGTTGATGTCTACAGGTGTGATGGTGTAGTGCATTAGTATGTACCGTTTGGTCGTCTAGTATGGTCTCGTTATGTCTTCGTTCACTTTCAAATCGGGCGAATAGAAAGCTAAACACACTCACTCCTTGCGCTTATGGGCTAGCACATCAGAGCCAGACGTAAGACCTACAGAATGGATTTCAATTGATCGAATGCACACATTAGTCACCGTAGGCCACAAGCCATCACTCTTAACCAAAAGAGCTACTGCCCCGTGCTGATGTGGAATGATGTGCTATGGAGTGAGATTTTAGATCCGAGCACATAGTCAACAAGCGCTGATCCGACGTGCATTGTGGAGCTTCCGATTGAACGTTTCTCCACAGCATTAATAATTCTTTACAAGAAATAACTTCTTTTTTGTAAAGAAAATGTTACAAAATTAGTAAAAAATTTTTTTTTATCAAATGAGCAAGAGCAAGATGCTGTAAATCAAGTGAAAATTTTGAACCTCGCATGAAACAAACATTTTAAACCTCGCATGAAACAAACATTTTAAACCTCGCATGAAACAAACATTTTGAACCTCGCATGAAACAAACATTTTGAACCTCGCATGAAACAAACATTTTGAACCTCGCATGAAACAAACATTTTAAACCTCGCATGAAACAAACATTTTGAACCTCGCATGAAACAAACATTTTGAACCTCGCATGAAACAAACATTTTGAACCTCGCATGAAACAAACATTTTGAACCTCGCATGAAACAAACATTTTGAACCTCGCATGAAACAAACATTTAAGATCTTTAGCAATTTTTCGGCCATATTTTATTTTAACTTTCAGCCAAATAATACAGGAATTTTTTTTACATGTAATTGATAAAATTTTTTTACAGGCGGGAAGTTTTTATCTCGGCAAAGCAGGACAAATTTCCTCATATAATCAGGTCCTTAGTATTTTTGCATATTTTAGTAATTTTGTTTTTTTTATATTCCTTATGATAACTTGGTTTTTTTTAGTGTATTTTTTTAGTAACGTATAGGGCAAACTGATAGGATATGATAATTCATTAGATGATAGACTGAAGAAATAAATATTACATTGTCATGCAATAGAAGTGTGAGGTTTGCTCTTTTTTTTGTGTGTGTTTTTAGTGGAATAAACATTAAAGCCACATATGAAACGCACCAACGCCATCCCATAAAGGAGAGTAAATATATGGCTAACATGTGCTTCCCACACGCTGGCCACATGAAACTTTCACACCCAAATGAAGAGTGGTGATCGTTCTTATTTAGTGTGGTTTTAGTGGGATAAACATAATAGTCACATATGGGACGCATCAACGTTATCCCATAAAGGAGAGTGGTAAGCATATGGTTAGCATGCAAATGCCGTACATAGCCCACATTAAAATTTTTTGTCGGGAGCATATTAGTTAAAAAATATAAAACAGCTTTTAAATAAAACATCAAATAGGTTCCCGCTACGGAAATTGAGCCCTCGACCTTTACTAGCCGCGCCTCAATATGCAATTATGATAATCCACACCTACAAGTCTATTAGACATGTATAGACATTGTCTATGTTGAATATAAAAAATTTAAACATTATAAATCGAACTTTTGTCAAATTTTTATTTGTACGCGCGTACAAATAATGTTATTAAGTATTATTAAGTAATATTAAATAATATTGCTATTAAACAAATAATAACTTAATAAGTAATATTAAATAATAATAATTAAAAGTTTCAAAAGTATTCATTAGATAACTAAATGCAGCCAAGAAAATTAAAATTAAAATTGTATTTAAACCAAAAAAACCACTTTATGGGAGAGGGGTAGGTACAAATTTACTGCGACATTTTTGCAGTAGGGGATCATTAAAATGTGACGATCTGTTACTGAGGAGGAGATGAGAGGATGAGAGGGATTTAAATTGTCAAAACGTTGTCTAACAATTAAACTAGTAATTTAATGTTTCATTATCATAAAAGTTCAAAATGATTATTCTAATTTTATCCAATATTGTAACGTCAAAAAAAAATTCTTATTGCAGGAAAGCACAATTAGCACCAGTGAAACGTCAATATTTAAATATGCAGTTGACGGAACAGAATGTCTGCGGAAATCTGCAACTGACGGAACGGAAACTCTACGGAAATCAGCAGCCGAACGAACAGAATGTCTACGGAAATGTCTAGAATCTTTTGACAGCACTATTCTAATGGCAAACACATTTTTAGCAAAAGTAAAGACACAAACCACGCCAGATGGAGTCAAACCATGATATATATATATATATATATATATAACCAGTGTTAATATTATATTGAAACAAAAGTATTTTATAAATAATATATTATTAAAACAAAACAAAACAAAACATTTTAAAAATACTTCGTTCACTTATTTTTTTTTTTTTTTTTTTTTTTTTTTACGAGTGTAAAATAATTTACACTCGTAATTTATAAAAACAAATATTTACATGACTGGGGCTTGAAGAAGACAAAATTCATCTTATCATTAAGCCCCCCCAAAAAAATGCATATTCATCAAATAAAATATTTTAACAAAATGTAAAAAATAAAATATATAACGTTTAAAATATTTAGTAATTCAAAGAGTATTTATATTTAAGAACTGATTAGTAAAATAAGATGATATACAAGTATTAATATTACAAAAAGAATTTACAATAACTTTTTTTAATAAAAATTGAAATTATAAAATTTTACAATATTTTTAGTAATTAGTATTTCAAATAATAAAACTTAAAAAATCGTTTGTAAATTCAAAACTTATAAGATAAGAAATACATTTACAATAGCAGACTATTGTTTAGAATATTAAATATAATATTAAAGAGTAATTAGTAGGTTAATTTTTGTTTTTGTTTGCTAGTTTAAAAAGCTTTTTAGAAGAACTTTAATTCATTTTCATGCATCATCAGTAATTGCTTAAGTTTTGTTTTAAACTGGTTTAAAGAATAATTAGATTTCAGCTCATTATTTAATATTGTATTCAACAGCTTAGGACCTCGATTTGCAATTGAGAATTTGGTTGCTGAATAATGTGTTTTGGATTGAATGTAATTGTTTTTTGAAAATCTGGTAGGGTATTGTGGTTTATTTTTTCAAAAAGTGAATTAAATAACATTGGTGATATTTTTTTATCAAGTTTAAACATGAAGATAAGAATATGGTAAAGGTTTAGTTTATATACATTTAGAATATTAAGTTTATTAAATAATGTTTTAGTGTGAGAGAAACGGTCTACGTTTGTTATTATCCTTATAGCCTGTTTTTGTTTACTAAACAGTTTTTTTACTTTTGTTGCGTTTGTGCTGCACCAAGCAACGTTTGCATAATTTAAGTAGCAATGAATTAAAGAAAAATATAAGTTTTTTAAACAAGATAGATTTAAAAACTGCTTGGCTTTATACAAAACACCTATATTTTTTGATATTTTATTTTCAATTAGACCTATGTGGTCCCTCCAGGTTAAATTTTCATCCAGAACCACACCTAAAAACTTTATTGATTGCTCTCTTTTTAATAATGCGTTATCAATAAAAAGATCAGGAAGTTTTAATGGAATATCTTGTTTTTTATGAAGACGATGGAACATTTATTGATGTTCAAAGATAGTTTGTTTGATTTGAACCATTGGGTTAATTTTTCAAGTTCTTTGTTTACTGTTTGAAATAATTTACTGATATCTTTACTAGAATAAAACAAGTTTGTATCATCTGCAAACAAAATTAAGTTTAAAATGTTAGAAAATTTATATAAGTCATTAATATAAACGAGAAATAAAAGTGGTCCTAAAATTGATCCTTGAGGAACACCACAGGTGATTGACTTATATTCCGTTTTTCCGCTATCATATGAAATAAACTGCTTTCTATTAGTCAAGTAACTATCAAACCAGGACAAATTAGTATTTATTATACCATAACTTTTCAGTTTGGATAGAAGGATTTGATGATTGACAGTGTCAAAAGCTTTACTTAAATCGATAAATACACCTAGGGTATACTTGTCTTCATCAAACCCTTTAAATATATCATGAACAAGGTGAGTGATTGCATGATCAGTTGAATGACCAGATTTAAATCCAAACTGTTTATGATAAAGAATATTATTAACATTTAAAAAGGAATATAGTCTATTATACATAACCCGCTCTAATATTTTAGAAAAACAAGAAAGAATTGAGATTGGTCTATAATTCGTAACATCGAAAGGATCACCTGATTTTAACACTGGAATTACTTTTGCAATTTTTAGGTTATCTGGAAAAACGCCTTGTTTTAGAGATAAATTAAAAATAGGTAGTAATGGAATTGTAATTTGTTTTATTGATTTGATAATGACATTACTACTTATATCATCAAATCCTAAACTTTTATTGGGTTTTAATAAAGAGACTGCGTCTAGTAATTCTTTTTCTGTAAGTTTATAATTAGACATAACATTAAGGTTGGTTGAGGTTAAGTACGAACTAAAGTGTGATTGAGTAGTTGCTATATTAGATGATAAAGTAGGACCTATATTTACAAAAAACTGGTTAAGTGTTTCAGCGACTAAGGATTTATTTACAATTTGTTTGTTATTAAATTTAAGATTTAGAGGAAGTAAATTTCTGTATAAGCTTTTTTTTCCAATTACCTCCTTAATAATATGCTAGGTTTTTTTAGAATCATTTTTGTGCTTTATTAATTGTTCAGAATAGTAACGTTTCTTTGAGCGTTTTAAGATTGACTCAAATAGCCGTTTATAGTTTTTATAGGTAGTTTCATTTTTAAGAGTTCTTTTTTTAAGAAACTTGTTATATAAGCGTTGTTTTTTTTTTAAGAATGCCCTTCGTGATCCAAGGGTTTAAAAGTGTTTTTGTTTTGATTACTTTAGTAACTTCTGGGAATGCCTTGTTATAAAGATTAAGAAACTCTGTTAGGAAAATACCATACGCTTTATTGGCGTTTAGATTTAGTTTTAGGGTGTCCCAGTTAACACAGGATAGAAGCTTATAAAAATGACTAATAGAGTTGTCGGTTATTAAACGTGTTTTAATTATTTTTTCCTGTTCATTTTGGGCATTATTTATGCATTTTTGCGATAGGATAAAAATCGGAAAGTGATCAGACACGTCAGTTTTAAATATTCCTGTTCTTATATTTTTATTTATAAATTCATTTGTTATAATTTGATCTAGGGATGTTGAACTTTCCTTAGTTATTCGCGTTGGTTTATTGATTAGTGGAATATAGCTATTTTGAAAAATAGTGTTAAAAAAGTTTTTAATATATATATTTTTTTCATAATCTAATATATTGAGATTGATATCACCAATAAAATATACAGCTTTATTCATAGACGATTTATTTTTAATTATTTTTTTAATGTGGTTTTCAAATACCTTGCTTCCTGAAGGCGGTCTGTATAAACCATGAATGACGATATTTTTTGAGGTTTTGTTAATAATTTCAATACATAACGATTCATAATCGTTAGTAGTTGAACTTAAATTTGGTTTAACTTTGAATAATATTGAGTTTTTTATGTATATACACAAACCCCCACCTTCCTTATTAGATGCTCTAACTTGATGAATTACTTTATAACTAGGTAATTGAAAATTAGAATTGTTTTCAATGTTTTTATCTTTACACCATGTCTCACTTAGACAAATTATTTGAAATTTAATGCCAATTTTATATAAAAGTTGTTTTAATGACTCGAAATTTTTTTGAATACTTCTAATATTAATATGAAGCATTGAAAAATAGTTATCCTCCATTCCATTAGCAATTTTTTTAGAATTTGGGTCATAATATAAAGAGTTAATATTTTTAATTATTTCATCATTATTATAAAAATTAATATCAGGATCCGAATAGTTGTTTAATAGTATTGACTTTTTTGATACAAATGAATTAAAATTTATGTTTGTTAAAACAGTTTCATCAGCCATTTTAAATCAGAAATAACTTAAAGCAATATTAAAATTCAAAAAAGTAATATAAAAACGTAAGAAAATCATTTATCATTATTTTTTTTTTTATAAATTCTCTAACAATAAGCTTATCGTATATAACAACGGAATACTTACCATTTATCCTGTGCAATTTGCTTTCTTCAAGAAGTTTCTTTCTTATTGTGGAAGTTTCCAGCGAAAAATCCTCGTTGATATAAATTCCGGATCCTTTCAGTTTATTGGCATTTTTTAGGATTTTTACTTTGTCTTTATGGTTAAGTAACTTAATTACAATTGTTCTTGGATTTTTTTTTTCAATAATGCCAGTTCTATGCGCTCTTTCTATGATTACCCCATTTACATTGAGATTATTTTCAAAAATGTTTATTATTATTTTTTCCGTCTCATCCCAACTTTCGTTGTCATTTTCTTTAACTCCTTCAATTCGAAGATTATTTCGCCTTTGTCGATCTTCCAGCTGTCTAAATTTATTTTTTTCATTCTCACCTGTATTTGCATTCGATGACTTTTTTTTTTCCAACTCGCTCATTTTTTTGTCATTGCAATCTTGATAAAACGTTAGACTTTCCTCAATGTCTTTTTGTGTTTTTTCAAACTTTATCAACTGCTTGTTAGTTTTATTTTGATCGGCATTTCGGTTTACGTTATCTTTTTTTAACATTTCACAAGTTTCTTTTAATGTACTAATTTCTTTCAGCAATCCATCGATTCGATCATTAGTCAGTTTTAAATTTGCACTTATTAACGATAGTATATCATTTTGTTATTTTTGGAACATTTCTTGAAAAATTTCCCTAACTAATTTTATCGAGACGTCAGTGATTTGTTTTGAACTCATTTTCAATCTCAAGTTAAATACCAGTTATAAACAAAATACCAGTTAAATGTTAAATACCAGTTATAACAAAAATTTTAAAAATTAAGTTCAAACAATTTTATTAAAAATTTACAGCGCAAGAAAAGCACGTCCGATCACTTCCGTAGTAAATCAATTATAGTTTTGAAATGTCACGTAATGATTTTCACATGCTCTAATGAGGGGCAACTTTGTCGTTAAAGAAAAGATAATACTTAAGATAAATTAGGTTCTTTAATCACGCAAACTTTTAAACTATGAAGCGCTGTTTGAAATAAAACCATGTTGTGCTTAAAATGTACTTTAAAGCTTCAGATTTTATCTATAAAAGGTTTTTTTAGAAAAGTTGAAGAAAAGTTATTTAAAGAGACTATTTTTTAATATTAACTCTAAATTTTTGGTTCTTATTTATTTTTAAAATTCTTATATTTAATAAAAAGTTGGTTTTTGTTATTCATAAAACTAAAACTATAAAGTTGTATATCATAAAACTATAAAGTGTTGTCATTTTATCTTGTGC